TCCCTCTGATTACTACATTTTATTCTAGCATATATCAGAATGATAGTGCTATTATCATTGCCCTTGAATCACTAAGAACAAATTCCTCTTAGTTGTATGCATTGTTGAAAAAGTGAGATAATAATATATTTTAGACAAATTTTTATCCAATTGGACGAAATACTCTGGCGCTTGAAGGAGTGAGTTTAAGTAATCTGGAAATTTCATTTAGAGAGAAGATATTTTTGCCAACCAGACAGACAAAGGAAGCTCTATGTTGTTGTGCATTTTCCCCAAGGAAGGCCAAATAATATAAAAAAAAGTTATGAAGATCTGATATCCTTGGAAGGAAAGATGTGTTATCATTAAATATTATATAAATCCTTAGAGGAAAATAAAAGTTAAAATACTTGAAGGTCACCCTACAACTCAGTGCAGACCCCTGGTTAGAATCAAGGGCTTTCAACTGCCAATCTTGAACTTTATGCAAACAATCTATTGGCAAAATCAGATGGTACATTTTTAACACAGAAAGGATTAATGATGAGAGAAAGAAGATTCTAGTAGTAGAGACTACAGCTTTTTGTTTCCATGTCAGCTGCCCCCCACCTCAGATTGCTAGAGCATTCATGGGGTCTCCTACTTCTGGAGCTGCGAGTCCCATGCATTTAGCAGTTGTGTATACTGCAGGGGCACATGGTAATATCTGTAGGCTCTGCTATTATCCAAAGATTGAAAGAGCCACCAGACATCTTCTTAAATTCTCCTTATATCCACAGCTAATATAAGTGTATCCCACCCCAGGATTCAGACTGAGCCAAGGCTGAATGCTCACAAAGTAACTTTGTCTCACTTCCCACCTACAAAATGAAAGATGGGGCTAGATTGTCTTCAAAGCCTATTCTAGTTGTAAGATCCTATGAGTCTAAAAACAATTATGTTTATTATTAAGTCATGACAGCTATTATTTAACAGTCTTATAATGACATATTTTCTCAAGCTTCTTTTTACATTCCCTATACTGGACATTACTGTCAAAATAGCTAAAACATTTCTATAATTTTATGGATCAAACTTGTTTAAAAAAAAAAGGTTTAAATACCAGCTTTATAAAGAGGCAATTATTTTTTTCATTATATTAAAATATATTTCAACGAATATATCTGACATATACAATAAATCTCCTAAAATGATTTGAGACCAAAGGAATAATTAGTTACAAAAATATTACAAAGAACTGAACCAAAATAAAACCAAATGAACCAGCTACTAAACTACACGTAAGACCTCAAAATATTATGGGAATGAAATATTCTGGTAAAAATAAGACAAGAGATGGAAACAGAAGTTTCTTATTATCACACTTCATATGTTATAAAACATAACAGCTAACTTATTTTTGGCAAAATGATTAAGGATTGTAACACTCTGGCATACACAAACTTACTTGATTGTCAAATGCACCTTAAATGAAGCATGTCATGCTAACTTCAAGTATGCAAGCACTGCGTTGTCTTAGAGTAGCCCAGAGACACTGATATTTAAACACTTTGGCAGGGATCACACCACCAATATTAACTGGCCCAGGTGTTTAAAGGGGGGGTGGAATTTCAACAATGTACTTAATTGAAACCAGATAAAGCTTCTGAATAACAAAAAAAAAATCATACAGATGTTCATTGCTCCCCTCCTCCTAAAAAAGAGGCAACCTTTTGGACAATATATTGCACACATTATTTTCTAGAACATACCCTTTTTAAGAAGATAAAACACAGTTTCATATGTCTCTTTGAAAACCCTATAATCACAGTTTGAGTTATGCCTCTGCAAATAAACCAGGTGAAGCTCATGTTTAATCTTTTTTCCCCTTTTCACCACTATTCCTGCAAAAGCAGGGAAACCTGAAAGCAGAGCAATAATTAGAAAGTTATGAAGCTGAAGAAGCTGTAAGATACAATAACCTTAAGATGTACTGTATTTCTGTCCCAACATTGTGAATGCAAGCTCAAAAAAGGAGAAGAACTCAAAACAAATGTGTTGAACAACTGTTTTCAAATACACAAAAGATAAACCATACATCACATGCAGAATAGGTTTGCAGCAAACAAACAAAAGTCAAAAGAACTGATCTTCTGTGATTAAGTTAACAGACTGTGAAGAACTGAGAAATGAATATTTTCTTCCCTATGTTTAAAGACTAGTAATGCTATTATTATTTCAAATGTGCAAGTATCCTTTTTAATGTTTTGAAAGCTTTTAAGACACCTAGAACACTAATATATTTCATATCAGTTTCCTACATTTTATTTGACAGGACCAAGTCACTGCCTATACCAGAAAATAAATTCAGCATCTGAATTTTTTTTTTTTGAGACAGAATCTCACTTTTTTGCCCCGGCTAGAGTGAGTGCCGTGGCATCAGCCTAGCTCACAGCAACCTCACACTCCTGGGCTCAAGCGATCCTCCTGCCTCAGCCTCCCGAGTAGCTGGGACTACAGGCATGCGCCACCAAACCCGGCTAGTTTTTTCTATATATTTTTAGTTGTCCGATTAATTTCTTTCTATTTTTAGTAGAGACGGGGCTTGCTCAGGCTGGTCTCGAACTCCTGAGCTCAAACAATCCGCCCGCCTCGGCCTCCCAGAGTGCTAGGATTACAGGCGTGAGCCACCAAGCCCGGCCCAGCATCTGAATTTTTATTTACCCATATATCCACCCCACAAATGAATTCTTAACTCTGGAGTGGCAGAGTAGGGAGCTTCTGACATGGCTCCCAGTGACCTGCTAGTATTCATGCCCTTGTGTAATTCCCTCCCCTTGAGTGTAGGCTGGATCTAGTGACTTGATTCTAACAAAAAGAATATGGGAAAAGCGATGGGATGTCACTTCTGTAATTAGGTTACAGCCTGTGACTTCCATCTTGCCAGCAGATGCTCTCTCTAGCTCTTCTCCCAGGCTTGCTCTGACCAAGGGAGCTAGGGAGGACATGCTGAGGAGAGTGGCCTCCTGCCACTAGTGAACTGAGTCCCTCAGTCCAACAATTCTCAAGGAACTAAATCTGCCAACAACCATGTGAGTGAAATTGGAAGCAGATCCATCTCAATTCAAGTCTTCAGATGAGACTACAGCCCTGAAGACACCTTGACAACAATCTTGTGAGAGATCCTTAAGCAAAGAATCTACCTAAGCTGTGACCAGATTTCTGACCAGAAACTGTGAATGAATAAGATATATCATTTTATGTTGCTAAGTTTTGGGATAATTTGATACACAGCAGTAGATAACTAATATAGCAGTTAACCTAATGACTGAGCCAATGATTCTAGTGTCATTTCCATAATAATAATAATAATAGCTAATATTTACATGGAACTTTTAAGTTCCAGATGCCACTCTTAATACTTTATATAATTCCTCACAAGAATGCTTTGAAGAACACATTATTTATCCCCATTTTTCAGATGAGGAAACTGAGTAGAGACTCAATAACTTGTCCAAGGTCACACAGACAAAAAAAATGACAGCAAGTACTGGAACCCAGGCATCCTGGCTCTAGTGCCAGAGCTCACAGCAACTGAGTTCACAGCAGAACCACTAAGAGAAAGGGCTGAACACCCTAAGGATGTAACCACATAACACAGTATCAGAGGAGATTTCAAAGGCACAAAAGAGATTAGAAGCCATACAAAATGCTAAAAGCAAAAATAAAGCTTACTTTCTGATTAAGATGCTTTATCTAGGGGGAAAAAACCCAAAAGAGTATTAATAGAAGCAATAATACAGTGAATGGAGTACAATCTTCAATTTATTGAATTCACATTTAAAATGAAAAATACATTTTCTTATATTCAGTAAGAGAAAATTAAAGGCCTACATTTGGTATTATAAATCATAGCCAAGAGGCTACAGTTGTATTTTCCCCAAGGGCAATTGTAAGAAGCATGTAAAGCTGGCGGGAAAAGGAGCAAACTCCTAGTGAGCTCTAAGACCCTGTTAGAGATTTTTTATCACATGCAGTGAGAGAAGTCAAAATCCTAGGACAGAGAGGCCATGAAAGGATCATTTCCTATCTTGGGTTCAGATTACTAGATTAAACAGCACTCCACGCTGCCACACACCCTGTACTTACACAAGACAGCTGGTATCACACCTATTGGTTAGTCTGTCTCCTCCACTAGACTCCAGGCTCTCTTACCTCAAAGACTGTCTTATTCACTGGGACATCCTCAAAACATAGCACAGTACCTAACATATGGCAACGGCTTAATATATGTTTGTTGAATGAAGACATAAATTATCCTGTGAATCGCATCCATTCAATGGGTCATTTCAACGGTCTACATTAGTGAAAGCATAAGTTTTTGTTTTGCTTTAAATCCCTCGTAGTTCACTCGCTTTCCTGGGCACTTTTAATAGGTCTTTGTGTCTCTAGTGCTTCATTTAATATCTGGCACACAGTGGCACCCAATAAGTATTTGTGAATAAATGAATAAATGTGTGTCTCAAAAAGGTAGCCAGGCTATAGAACAGGGAAGGATCCATCCAGACTTATGACTTACGAATAAATAAAGATTTAGTGTTCCATAAAGATAGCTATTTGCCTACCAACAATGATGATGATGATATAATACATTTCCTTCCTTTTGAAAGGAGGCATGAATATTTGTAAAATACTCTCCCAATAAAGAAAGATTCTTGTCTAGGTCTTCAATATTCCCTTTTAAAAAAGACAGCAAGTTATATGTAATATCAGAACTCCAGATAATCTAAGATTCAAAGGCATTCGTTTAGAAAATTCCTATCTCCTTCAGCATTATTCTTTGAAACCTTATGGGAACTTCATGAACATGCACTCACACAAGCCCATGGTAATATGGACATAAGGACAAAGGCAATTTCCAAGTATCTCCTTCTCAGTTCTATTTATCAAGTAAATAAGAGACCAAAGAGCAAAGGCGAGCTGAGGAGGATCTGTGCAGTGCATAATCAAGCACCCATAGTCATCCGCTACAGCGTACTTACTGGGAGCTCAGGGGCACGCTTCAACAACTGGAGAGAAAAATAGCTGCCTATTGAATGGCCAATGAGCACAAGCTTCATTTCCTTTGGCACATGAGTTCTCAGGAAAGCTAGTTTGTGTTCTATTTGACCACTCAGTCCGAAGATGTCCTTAATTTCTTGAGCATTTGGATCTAAAAGCAAAGACATGAGCATATTTTCATTCAATAAGTGAAAGTAATTACTGTAAA